TTGTGTTCCCTCTCTCGCTGTGTCTCTCTCTGTCAAATAAATAAATGAAATCTTTTTAAAAAAAAAAGAATTTTAAGAACATGGGGTGCCTCGGTTTCTCAGTGGTTAAGCGTCTGCCTTCGGCTCAGGTCATGATCCCAGGGTCCTGGGATCTAGCCCTGCATCAGGCTCCCTGCTCGGTGGGAAGCCTGCTTCTCCCTCTCCCACTCCCCTGCTCATGCTTCCTCTCTCGCTGTGTCTCTCTCTGTCAAATAAATTAAAAAAAAAAAAAAAAAGAATTTTAAGAACACAAATTATAAAATCTCTTTGAAATTACATTCTTGCAAGCTTCAGGAAATATATACATAAACAAAATCAACAAAAATTATAGTAATCATGTTTTTGTTTTTTAAATGATTGCTCATTCTATAATCTTGAAATATAATTTTCATGCAGAGCCTCATGCAAATGACAATTAACACCTTTAATCTCTTAATATTTATAAACACTAACAACTCTTGCTTTTTTTATATGGTAAAATAGACATAACTTGGAATAATTTCTGCTTTTTAATTGGGAAATTGAGATAATGCTACATAGTCTCTTTCTGAAAGTAGATAAAGATAAAAATTTGAAGAATATTAGTGACCTACCCTAGATCTTAGATAGAGAATCAGATATTCTTGGTTCCTCAACCAGTTTTAAATCTATAACTCAATTTATGCCAGTGGGATTTTTTTAATTATGTACAGTTAAGTACTTTCACTAATTCAAATATCCAAGTTTGGCTGGAATGTACTAAAGCTGACATTCCTCCTGTGCAGGACCACACAGGCTTGAATAAATGGGAACCAATCTGCACAGGCATATATTTGATCTGGAACTGGTTGGTTTGCTCCTGACTTCCACCTCTCTTTGCACCTGGGAGAAATAGCTCTTCATTAGGCCCTTCTGGCTGAGTGCTCCTTTAGACCCACATCCTTAAGTTGACTCTGACCAACCAAGAGAGGGGGAGCCAGAGGGCACATCACCATGGCAACTCCCCACAACAGACCCAAGCTACTACTAACACAGTTCTGCCATCTCAGAGGTCACATGTAGATCCAGCCCCCAAAAGATATGAGCAGATACTCTGCAAAACCTTATCATTTTTTATATGGAAACTACAATCCCCCATCTCAGTGGCTAGGCATAAACACAAACTTTGCCATTTAGCTGTGGTCACCGTATATCCTGGTTTGCCCTACATGGTCCAGGTTTATACTTGTTATGTTTGTGTAATTATTAGTGGTGTCCCTATTCTCAATAAAAGTTGCCCTAGATTAGAGGCACCTGGGTGGCTCAGTCAGTTAAGACTCCGACTCTTGATTTTGGCTCAGGTCATGATCTCAGGGTCCTGAAATCAAGCCCCTGGTTGGGCTCCACACTCAGCGGCAAGGCTGCTTAAATTTTCTCTTTCTCCCTATGCCCTTCTCCCTGTTTACACGTGCTCTCTCTCTCTCTCTAATAAATAAATAAATCTTTTTTTAAAAAATCACCCTAGATCAAAGACTGAATTATATGGCCATCCTACAGACAGGCCCATTTCAGAAAAGGGACAGACATGAGAGACAAACCAAAGGCAAATTTATTCATGGATGTTTGCAGGCCTACTCCTCTAGGCTACCATCCATACTTTCTTCAGTGACCGGAGACTCTTAACAATGATCTTAAAGTCCAACTAAGGAATTCTCCCCTTCAAATTTAGAACTCAGGAGCAAAGCAAACAGTAGGTCTTTTTCCTTCTGATTTCAAAGATGCCTAGGACCATCCAGAGCCTACTCTATATGAAGCATACCCCTAGATGGAAACAATGTGAGGAATATCCCTTTAACCAGTTCAGCTGTAGAAACATCACTTCTGAGAATATTACTTATAAATTCTTCCCCTAGAATGGCCCTACGCTTACTATGAGAGCCACATCAAGTGAATCCAGATGCCCAAATGGAAAAGTGGCAAAAAGCACACACTGTCTGATGATTGTACTTGTCCATTCAACAAATATTTATGAAACACAAAATGGCAGCCCTTAAATCTCTGAATCCAAACCTCAGATGCGTTTTGTTGGGTCCAGATAGGAATCTTAAATGTTTAAAACATTTGCTAATGTTTTAAAATATGCAGTCATACCTAAAAATCCAGACTTCCACTCTTAGAAAATCAGAGGCTCTGTCAACACTAGGCTTGTATCTTGTTAATGCAATTTGAAACTGGTGCTGAGTAACTCCCTGAGAAATGACCATCACTCCATGGTCCTCGGTCCTCACTCAACCTCCACCTCACTCAACCAAATCCCAGGCATTTGAGTTTGCAACCCTGATATATGGCTGGAGATAATCCTTCATGGAATAACCATCTGGCCCTTCAAATTAAGGAGCCTCTACCAGGGATTCTCTAGGTTCAGAGTAAACTAGAATCCGTATCTTTAGATCAAAGACTCAACAGGGAAATGGCAATAAACAGGAAAAGTTAGGGTTTTTTTCTCTTTTATCAAAAGGACATATGGTTGCCACTGTTGCTACAGGATCAAAATGAGACTAAGCATGTTTTTATTTGTAAAATAATAGCACATTCAGCCTCAAACACCTAAATACATAATTAAGGTTAAAAAGTGGGGGGGGGCATGTTTTTAATTGATCCCCTAACAACGAATCTGGGAAGGACTCAACTGTCAAGAATTCAAAGTGCCATGACCCATAAGCAAACTTTGACCATCAATGAAATTAGCCATGATGTGTCATGTATCAGATCTGAAGAAAGTAACTTTAACATAAACTACCCAAAATCATAAAACATTCCTTACAGTCCTGGGAAAATGCAATTTCTTCCTCCTTATTGACAGAACCCAAAAATCTTAATACAATAAAATTAGTGATAACTTCCAAATATAAAGAACATGCTGCACTCCCATTTCAACAGAGGTGAAAGCTAAAAATAAGCTTTGAACAAATAAGCACAAAGTGAAATTCATTTTAATCATGGTTGGAATGTTGAGACAATTTGTAAAAATGGTATTTTAACATACATCTAACTGCAGTCATGTAAGTTAAAATTGCTCTCTTCATACTGGGAGTTCTGAATGTTAAAGTATTAAACTAGCTTCCAAAATAACTGATGACATCTAAGACAATGAGCTTTTATTTTCTTCAATTCAGCCACAGGCCTTTTGTAAAAAACTTTCAATGACAGATACTAAAATAATGAATTAAGAAAAAAAGCCTTATTTGCAGGATGTTTTTCTCCTTTGACTATTATTAATTCCCCAGCTATCAAAGGAACTGCCACATGTTGCAACTGCGACTTTATTTATATTTAGACAACATTATTTTTCTAAAGAATCTAAAGTACTTTGCAAACATTAAAGAGCTATTTTTAGGATAGCATTTTGGCTGCTTATCACATAGTAAAAACTCTTTACACTTTTATTTTAAAACCAGTTTTCAAAGACACAATCACTGTTATAAAGTTTTGTTTAGATTCCCCTAGCCATTAGATATAGGGTTGTGCCTGTTTTTAAGGAAGTAAAAATGCACTGTTTGGTAACAGACACCTCAATTTAGTAGACTTTGGAAAAATATTATAAAATAGATTTTGGCCTCTTTTACGACACTGCTTTTTAAATCACCCAAGCCGGTATTGATTCTGTCTCCAATTAGTGCGTTAAAAAACTGCAAAAAAAAAAAAAAAAAAGTTTTCTTTCCACTCAACATCCTCAACATCTAAACGCAGATTCATACTTGCTGACAATCTGACATCGTTGTCAACCAACTTCTCCCTAAACCCTGCTCCCAAATAGCCTCACAGCCCCCAGTCCTGCAGGTGCTGCTGTAACTAGGACTCAACGTTCCACGTGGGTTAAGGTGCAGGACTCGACCAAGCCGGAGAGTGAGTGCAGGGCCTTGAGGACCCCAACCCTCTCCAGTGTCTCCTCTCACACACGTACAGACGCAAACACAAGGCCAAAGCCAGCTTCCCTCCTCCAGGCACACCCCAAACACCGCAGTCCTCCCAAGACGCGCGCTGCTCGCCGCGTCCTCCCGGGGCGCTCCCGCTCCTCCACCACCCCGGGACCACTCTCCGCCTCCCACCCGCTCTCCTGCGCCCGCGCGGGGTCCGCTCCCGCCACCCCGCCCACCCTCGAACGCAAGCTCCGCGCCTCCTGGTCCTTGGGACAGGAGGAGCGGACGCTCGAGCGCGCCACGTGGAGGGCGCGCGCCAGCAGCCCGACCACAGTCAGTCAGCCCTTCCTGAGGCGCCCCAGGGTCTCCAGCCCGGCTATTCCTCCCCAGTGCGCCGGACCCTCCCCCGCGCCTCCAGCCGCCGTCTTGCCTGATTGGGGTCTGTGGCGCGGAAAACGTGGCAGGCCACCTGCGACTCGGGGTCGTCGGGCTGCGCCTTGATCAGGTAGGCAAAGTAGGTGAGATCGTGGCTGTTGTGAATGAAGCGCGAGATGTGCTGTGCCTTGTGCTCGAAGATGAACACCGCCGGGTTGGGCTGCGCCGCCGCGGGGCCCGCGGCCCCGACGCCCGGAGCGGGGACACAGCGCAGGAAGGGCGCGCTGAGCACCAAGAGCACCTCGCGGGTGGCCGGCGCCCCGCAGCCGCCCGCCTCGGGCTTCTGGCTGCGCCGGCGGATCTCAGCCATGAGCCAGGGCAGCATGGGCAGCGTGGTCCTGCGGTCCAGGCACGACCCCCCCACGTACCACAGCCGAAACCGTTTGTCGCCCGGCTTCCCGGCGCCCGGTTGCGCAGGAGCGCCCGGCTCGGGCTCCAGAGGGTGCGGGAACGGCTCATCCTGAATGCAGCTGGGGGGCTCCATAACTCGCGCCTCACGAAGACACCGAGGCGGCCGGGTAGGCGTGCCGCGCCCCCAACTCCCGCGCTGAAGGCGCCGCCGAAACTGTGCCAACTGCCGCACCCGACCCCCGCGCCCTCTCTGGCACGGCAAGACCACGAACTCCGCGCTTCAGCGGCCCTGCCCCATGCGGCACTCCCCCCGGCGCGGCTCGGAGGCTCCGAGGCGGAGGCGCCCCGTAACCGGACTGGCAGGAGAGCGCGGGTTAAATCGTCATCCTCCTTCCTCGCGCTAGCGCCTAGGGGGCCTCACTTCCTCCTTCCTCCGCCCTGGGCCCCGCGCCGCTGCCCGTCGCCGCCCGCTCCAGGGCCGCAGAGGCGCTGCGGCCGCCGCGCTCGCCCGGGGCAGGCAGACGGAGGCTGGGCGGGGAATGGGCTGTGGGCGGGCGGGTGACTTGGGGCGGAGCTGACTCCTACCAGGGTGACCGGCTGTCACCTGGAAGGTCGGGGCCGCCGGGCTTCGGCGCGATCAGTCCTCGGGAAGGGCCTGCGAGAACTGGTCCACTGGAAAACAACAAAACCAAAACGTGGCCACGCGGGGCCGCTCCCCCTTGCTGTCGCCGCGACCCAGCTCGCGGCTCCTCCTCCCAACTGTTCCCGTCCCTCCCTCGCTCCTTCCTTCCTTCCAGGCTGCTACTTTAATCGGGCTGCTACCCCGCCTCCCGTCCGGCGGGCGGAGAGCGTCGCCGGTGAAAGCTTTTCTTTTTTTTCTTTTTTTTTTTCCGTGAAGTCGCCTCTCCGCCTCTTCCTCCGGCCCCTGGGGCAACAGTGCTGCTGCGGGCGCGGGCGCGGGCACTGCCCGGATCTACACAGCCTCTCCCGGGTCGCCGACCTCTCCGTCCCCTTGCGCCTCCCTCCTGCCCCCTGGCGAGGGGGCCCCTCTCCAGCGGGCGTTGGGATTTCTTTTTTATGAACAGTATTTGCATGGTTTCAGTTCTTTCTGAAGCCTGCATGATAATTTCTGAATCTTATTTCCAAATACTACCCAAAAGAACCCTATTCTATCCATTATATATGCCCAGTCCAGAGGTAGAGTAGAGATTTCTCACTCTTTTATATGTAGTAATATGTATTTCCAAGGTACTCAGAAGACATTTTAGGGATAATTTGATCATTCTAACTTTAAAGCAGAAAAAGAAGTATTTTTTTATTCATTTTTAGCAAATTAGATTCTCATTATTTTTGCTCTTACCGAATTGTAATGAATTCGATAAGTAAACAAAATAAATGGGAAAGACACTGAAAGTTCCCAATTTTCCCCAAAGTACTTGCCAAGGAATCAAAACCCAAAGATTTCTTATTGTTTTTAGTTTAATGGTATGCTCACTTTCTGTAAGGTCCTGGAGTTATTTTTTTATCCTATTTATGTAAGATGACTATGATCAGTTGCCATTATTACTATGCTGAATTTCTGGTGCACTGTGATGGTTCTCTTGTAAATACGCATCTAAGTTCCAAGATGGAGACCTTGTTAATTGTAGAGGTTTAGTCGCTTAGTTTAACCACTCCACCTCATCTTTGTGCAAAATAGACCCATGTCTTCAAGATGCAGTGAAAAGTTCCTGGAATATAGACTGAAACCTTCTAGAACCTTACCAGTAACTCTCTTCTACAAATTACATTTCCCTAGGCCACATATGTGGGATCCCGAAAAAGGGGGAGAAAAAGAGCAAAGATCTGGGGAGAGCATGGAAATCTTGTGGGTTCTACCAAGTCAACCAGCTTGGGAGCTAGGATTGAATTTGAAACCCCAGCAGACCATTTCCTAATGGTAAAAGAAAGTGAAGCAATAAACTCCCACTCATTGACAGAAAAGCAGAATTATCTTTTGTCACATGACATCCTGACTGTGATTGCCTCCTGCTCAGCCTTTAGCCTTTTCTTTGTAACTTTTTTGCGATATTTATCTTACTATGACAGTATTATTACTGTCAACCACTATCCAGTCCTCTCTGCATCCTGGCACATGGAAAGATAGCTCTTCTCTGCCCCCCTTAAATTTAGGCATGGGTCTTAAGACTTGTTTTGGCAGTGAAGTGACTTGTGTCACACCTTCAGTAGAAGCATTTAATTGCCAGTAGTTGCCCCTCCAGCCCACTGTTCCCCTCCAGTGGTCATCACAGAAACCTATCCATATGGACGTTGCTCATGATCAAAGCCCAGAATGCTGAGCCAACACTAGGAAGACAGCTGTCCTGGAGAATCTCCTGGGCCCACAGCACACTGCTTATGAGTGAAAAATAAACTTTCTGGTTCTGTGAAGCCACTGAGATTATGGAGTTGTTTGCTACCCTGTTGTTAATCTTCTCCTGTCCAATAAAATTATTATACTATAGTATATTTATATGACTTGTCTTATTATCATTTATATATTTGGATTTATTACTTGCATGAACTAGATGGTAAGTTATACTTACCCCATTGTAGCACCTGTAGGACCTTACAGAATTGCATGCACATGAAAAGTACTCCATTATATATTTGATCACTGAATTTCTAAAAAGATAAGAGGACAAGACAATTTTAAAATGTTTGGTAGGAATTACAAAGAATATGCAGGTTTATGATGTTTACTAAATGGTGGAGCAATAAATCAATCTCTGACCCCCAACCCTTCCATTCTCAACCCCAGTCCACCCCCCCAAAAAAGGGCTAAAGAATATGTTCAGAAAAACATTTCCAGTAATCTGCAAGAAATATCTCCTGAATAGTCTTATAGGCACCACAGCCTGTGATACCCAAAAGTGAACTCTTATATTAAACAAAAAAATAGTGCTCTTCTAACATCCCAATCTAAATTAATGGTGTCACCGTTAATTAGAAGTGGTAAGATCTGGTCAAATCCTAGTTAAAAAATTTGTACCACATGAGAAATATAAGGGCCTGAGCTAGTGTGGTGGTGTAAGACTAGAAAGGTTTGTTGCAATCTCTTGATCATTCTATAAAGCAGAAAAAGAAGTATTCTTTTTTTCTCATTGTAGTAGTGTAGAGATTTCTCACTCTTTTATATGTAGTAATATATATTTCTAAGGTACTCAGAAGACATTTTAAGGATAATCTGATCATTCTAACTTTAAAGCAGAAAAAGAAGTGTTCTTTTTTTTTTTTCATTTTTAGCAAATTAGATTCTCGTTCTTGTTCCTTGCTGCTAAGACTTTGTGCTCTCTCTCTGACTCTCTCTTTCTCTCTATTCCATTCTGTGTCCCCATCCAACATCTACTTTTCTCCTCTGCTTAAAAATCTCTAAAAGAAGGTACATTTTTTGAAGCTCAAAACACAAATCTTTCTAGTCTTATATCTGGCTCCTATCTCCCCAACTCCCACATCCAGACAGCCTCTCCATCCACCACCACATATGTCCTCACTCTCTGGGGCTTCGTAGGCACCTTGCTCTCCGAGTTGCTCTTCTTCCTATAACCCCCCCACTCCGGAATTCCCCCTTGCCCATCCCTGTCCTTCACTACTTGAATACCCATTCATTGTTCAAGACCCAACCCAAAACTCACTCTTCTGTGAACCTGTTTCTCATCTCCCCAGAGTTAGTGGCCCTCTCTTCTTTGCTCTTTTTTTATGCATTCCACTATTATAGCTCTTAATGCGTTCTTTGTAATGATCCAGTGATTTTTCTGTGTGTCCCCCCCCAACTACAAAGGGCATTTTGAGAGAGGCATTATTTTTGTTGTTGTTGTTCCATGTTTTCGTCCAGCAAGGTAGCTGACATGTAATGGGTTCTTTTTTTTTAATTTATTATTATTATTTTTTAACGTAGTGTTCCATGATTCATTGTTTGCGTGTAACACCCATTGCTCCATGCAGAACGTGCCCTCCTTAATACCCATCACCGGGCTAACCCATCCCCCTACCACCCTCCCCTCTAAAACCCTCGGTTTGTTTCTCAAAGTCCATAGTCTCCCATGGTTCGTCTCCCTCTCCGATTTCCCCCCCTTCATTAGCACTCACCATAGCACATACCCTCCCCAATGTCCATCACCCCATCCCTTCCACCCCCCACCACTCCAGCAACCCTCAGTTTGTTTCCTGAGATTAAGAATTCCTCGTATCAGTGAGATCATATGACACATGTCTTTCTGTTTGACTTATTTCGCTTAGCATAATACCCTCCATTTTCATCCACGATGTTGCAAATGGCAAGATTTCGGTTTTTTTGATGGCTGCATAATATTCCATTGTGTGTGTGTGTGTGTGTGTGTGTGTGTATACCACATCTTTATCCATTCATCTGTCGATGGACATCTTGGCTCTTTCCACAGTTTGGCTATTGTGGACATTGCTGCTATAAACATCGGAGTGCACATACCCCTTCGGATCACTACATTTGTATCTTTGGGGTAAATACCCAGTAGTGCAATTGCTGGGTCACATGGTAGCTCTATTTTCAACTGTTTGAGGAACCTCCATACTGTTTTCCAGAGTGGCTGCACCAGCTTGCATTCCCACCAACAGTGTAGGAGGGTTCCCCTTTCTCCACATCCCCGCCAACATCTGTCATTTCCTGACTTGTTAATTTTAGCCATTCTGACTGGTGTGAGGTGGTATCTCACTGAGGTTTTGATTTGGATTTCCCTGATGCCAAGCGATGTTGAGCATGTGATATAAATTGAATAAATAGCAAATTAGAATTGAAGAAACCAAAGATTATAAAGAGAGTTTTAATATCACAGAAATGATATACCAAATGATATAATTGGCTTATTTCATAAACATACTAAATATATCTACCAGCTAACTATAAAGTACTAGAAAATATAGGATGCCTCCCAACAATTGTAATGGAGCTCTGAGTGGAGATGGCAAATAAAGCGCAAGAGCTTGTGACTGAATAAAATTTTGAGATAAGAGGGTTTTTCCTCCATTTTTCCCTTGTTCCCTGTGACCTTCCCTCAGCCCAGACAGCCAGGACACTAAATCTTGTCTGCTCCAGGGGAAGGATGACACAGCAAAATACAGATAACAAAAGAGGCCATTCTTAGCCTTGAGGTCTCAAAAGCTAAGGACCTGGCAAAGGCAAAAGATTTAGAGTATGTGCTCGGAGTCAGTTTCTCCTGCTCTAGATACTTGAAGTTTTCCCAAACTTGGGAGATGGAGATGAAGGAATAAATAAGAGGTAACTACTAGGGAACCCAAAAACAATGTATGACTTCCAAACCAGTAGAATATTTATCCATCCAGTGGAAAAGGAAAGGGAATAAGAAGGGGGGAAAAAGGAAACAAAATTAAAGTATG